TCTCCTTCACTTCTGGAAGTTATTACTGTGCTTACGGTGCCACGTGCTTCTATCCTTTTTACTGACCCTGCAGGAATAAAATGTTGTTTTTTTTCCCCTCAACAAACACAAATATTCTCTAAATTACTAAAATATGAATAAGTTCTTTTTAAAAAAAATCAAAGTATAAACAAACTAATCTACTGAAAACAAGCATCTGGCTTCTAGAAAACTGAATACTGAATGTTTAAAGTTAAGGTTTCCTTAGATGTGAATATTTCATTCAGAGAAATACTAGAGTGAACAGCTCCAGATATAAAATGTTTATGTTATTTATTTTTGATGGAAGAGTTTGGTTATTCGTATATGAACTTCAATTAAAACAGTTATTTATAAACATTATTTTTCTGTGAAAAAATGATTAAATGTAAAGGTTTTCCCCTGACATAAAGTCCAGTCATGCCCGACTCTGGGGTTGGTGCTCATCTCCATTTCTAAGCTGAAGAGCCGGCGTTGTCCATTGACACCTCCAAGGTCATGTGGCCGGTGTGGTGGCATGGAGCGCCATTACCTTGCCGCCAGATCTCACATTTGCATGTTTTTGAACTATTGATCTACTCACATTTGCATGTTTTCGAACCGCTAAGTTGGCAGAAGCTGGGGCTAACAGTGGGAGCTCACGCCGCTCCCCGGATTTGAACCTGCGACCTTTTGATTAGCAAGCTTAGCAGCTCAGTGGTTTAACCCATTGTGCCACCGGGCAGTCTAAATACAGACTAAATACATACATAAATATAAATATTTAGATATTTAGATATCTAAATAAATATTTAAATACATAGTCTAAATACAGACAATACTTAAATGTGACTGAAGAGAAGGAAAAATCAGTAAGGCAGTAAGCTCTTACATAAGACAGCAACAATATATGAGTGTCAGATTAAAAATTCAGAGAAAATGCAAAGACGGCATGTCCATTGGTAAGTCAGTCTGGAAAATAGGTTCCATTATTCCCTCTTTATTAAAATGTAATAGTCACTGGCCAGTCATATGGATCCATGCTTGGCTTGTGTAATATTGTAGGAAGGAAGTCAAGATAAATTATGGAAGTTAAACATTAGTAACATAAAGTACAAAATGTGATGGGGTGAGTCTGTGAGAGGTAAGAGGACATGCAGGTTTCTGTCTTTTAAGATCTCAACAGCAAATTTGGTTATTTTCTATAAAGGGAGATATCTGTTTTAGTCTGTAGATGGCAGTAACTTGCCACTGTAATAGCTTGTAGACCCTTTCATTTTTAACTGGTGACATTCATGTTTTTGATGAGGCCTACAAATGAAGTCCAACTTTCAGGGATGTATTATTGGTTTATTTGTTTATTTACTACATTTCTACCCCACTGTTCTCCAACCTGGAGGGGACTCAAGGTGCTTTACACCCAGGTAACCATTTGATGCCTTCCAAAAAAAACAACGTGCAACTCAAATCCAATAGTCCTTTATTGGTATATATAACAAGACAGTATAAAATACAGTATAAATTATAAAAAGGAAACTTCACATTTGCTACACATTCAGTTCACAAACTTTATTCAGGAACCTTGCCACTGAAAGATAACCATTAAATTTTGGCAGTTTAAAAGCATAATTCAGCAACTAAAACAAGCATTGAAAACAGAATTATAAAATACATACATTACGACATTCAAAACACAAATATTATTTGTGTCTCAATGTAAACCAAAAAGCACAATGTTGGAGTTGACATGGAAAATTTGCATTCAGACTTGCAGCCAGTTGTGGATCTAAGTGATAGGAAATTACAATCTCTGAGGCCTCAAGGCCTTATCTTTTAAAATAAGAGTAATAATGGATAATTTTCACAGGGGTATTATAAAATTATAAGTACATTGAACCTTAAACTCTTTTTAATGGATGAAGATCGATCACTAATACACCAAGTCCCACACATCACCACTTTTTAAAATATAACAACAACAACAACAACACTTGACATACTGTGTTTTTGTGTCAGTAAAATAATACTTTATTTATATTCTGCCCTATCTCAGGGTGGATTACAGTACACATATACGGCAAACATTCTATGGCGATTATACAATTAACAAAGACAGGCAGTACATAGACAGAGGTAAAGGCTTCCCATTTTTTTCCATCTCCGGCATCTGGAGGCTGTGTTCGACTCTGAATTCCTAAACAGCTGGCTACATTTTATATATCTGCTATATCAGAAACTGCTCATTCTTTTCTATACTGTTGCAGAATTGAAATAGGCATTCTTATCATAGCCAGAGTTCCACTGTTGTTCTTTGGGTGATTAGTTATTAACCTAACCATTACACTTCAAGTTGTAACGTTAAAAACACACCGTTAAATAGCCAGGAAATCAGTTTTTGGAGAAACCATTCTTTTTCCACAAGGCAGCATCAGACGAAGAGAGTATAGGCTGAGAGGCAAACTTGTGAGATTGCCTGCTGTCAGTTTTAAAATTCTCCTTTGCTTTCATACTATTCTGTTTTAGCAAAAGTGTTGGTTGCCTTTCCTTTCAGTCATAACTCGAGGATGATTGTCTTCCAGATGTGGTGTCTTGGCGTTGGGTCCATAGGTGCCTGTGGAGCCCTATTCTTGTTTTTTTGTTTTACAAAAATTGCAGTTAAAAAAAAAGAGCCCTATTCTTGACATCACTAGTGTATCATTGGTTTTGCTTCTTATTCTGTTTGTGCCCTTACTCGTTTTACTAATTTGAACTTTCAGTACAGATGCAGGCTCCTGAACTCTCCCATAACTGTTTGTTGTTTATTCATTCAGTTGTTTCCGGATCTTTGTGACCTCATGGACCAGCCCATGCCAGAGCTCCCTGTCGGCTGCGGCCACCCCCAGCTTCTTCAAAGTCAAGCCAGTCACTTCCAGGATACCATTCATCCATCTTGCCCTTGGTCTGCCCCTCTTCCTTTTTCCTTCCATTTTCCCCAGCATCATTGTCTTCTCATAACTATTCATGTTACGATATCATTGCTCTCATGCTCACACTGTATTGCAGCACATTGAAATTCCAACATGAATTACACCAAAAATTAGGAGATGAGGGAAACAGCAAGGTGAAACTGTATCAATTATTACATTTTTAACTAGATTGACTTTTAGCATAGTAATTATTACAATCAAGCTGGTGAGCTATCCATGAAAAAACACTGCTAGAACCCTAAAGGGAAAGCAGCCAATTTTTTCCAGTAAATGCTATTGAATTGGATAGACCTTTTTTTCATGAGAGTTTAGAATTAGGTCTTTCTATTTTTATCACACATCAAAAGCCTTTAAGTTTATATTACGATTGATAAAAATAATTTGCCATGATTTATATTAAATTGACCTATGAGTTTTAACTTCTGATTAATTCCTCCCAGTCTTTTGCTGAAAATATTTTCTCTAGAGATTGCTGAAGGGCATCTGTTATTAATTTTACATGTTCATAAGGTATTTGTAGCATTTAGTTTAATCATAAACTTCAAATGAAGCAGAGAAACCATTCTGTCATGAGAAACCCAAGAGGTGCTTAGGACTTTTTAGTGTATTTCAACCTTGCTTATATAGTTTGCATAGAGAAGATATCTATTACAAAAAAGTGTGATGTGATAGTCATACAAAAACACCACTTCTGAATATAATTAGTACTTAATGGCACATCATTCTGTGATTACTTTTTTATAGGGCTATAGGAAATGTGTCTAATGTTTCTTGTAGAAATCAAATATATCATCTTTGTATATTGCTTTCTAAATAATAAGTAGCAATTGTTAAAATGGATTAGTTCCTTGTAGCAGTGGTTTTAGTTTGAGTCACTTTTTGTACTACCCTTAATGTGCTGTTTATGTGCTTGTAGGGGAACATGGGATTACAGCTAGTTACAGATTGAACATCTCCTATTTGGAAATCAAAAATATCGTAAATCCTCGGTATCTGCTGGGATGTGGCTCCAATACCCCAGTGAATGCCAAAATCCATGGGGTTCAGAATGCTCTTTGATTGTAGGTGAACTGTGAATCCCAGTGACTTCAACTCCCAAATGTCAAGGTCTATTCCCCCCAAACTCCATCTGTGTTCATATTTGGGCATATTGAGTGCTTGTGCCAAGTTTGGTCCAGATCCATCATTGTTTGAGTCCACAGTGCTCTCTGGATATAGGTGAACTACAACTCCCAAACTCAAGGTCAGTGCCCACCAAAACCCTTCCAGTATTTTCTGTTGGTCATGGGAGTTCTGTGTGCCAAGTTTGGTTCAATTCCATCGTTGGAGTTCAGAATGCTCTTTGATTGTAGGTGAACTATAAATCCCAGCAACTACAACTCCCAAATGACAAAATCATATTTTTTTTGAGTGATGGTCACTCCTTGTGTTGTGAGACGTTTTGTTGCCAAATTTGGTGTGATTTCGTTCATTGGTTCTTTTGTTTTTAAGATACTCATGCACAGAGCATTTTTATATATATAGATATATATATGGGATATAAATTAATTTTGTGTTTGTACTTGAGTCCCAATTCCAAGATATGTCATTATGTATGTATATGCATACAGTTTTTACAAAATTAAAAAAATAATAATTTCAAAACACTTCTGGTATCACACGTTTTAGATAAGAAAAACTCAACCTGTAGGAACTCTGAAATAACAGTGTGTACTATGGGATTGTGCATAAAAGTTTACTGGATTCCACAATATGTATAAGCAAAACATGTTCTACAGATATGTTAACACTGCCTAAAGTTTAACTTTATCTAGGAGGATTGTCTGTTTCTATTTTTGGGAATGATTGAGAAAAAGAAATGTCCTCCCATGTAATTTGTCTATCCAAGTCTGATTTCATGTTCTACAGACATGCTAACACTGCCTAGAATTTAACTTTATCTAGGAGGGTTGTCTATTTCTGTTTTTGGCCAGGGGAAGAAATGCATATCTTTTAAAAAATGTTGTGTAAAGTGGGCCCTTCTCCATTGTTTTTCAGGAAATCCTGGATAGTTCCTTGACCCAAGAGTTCACTGTTGAAAACGTGCTTGCAATCCTTCCAGGCTTCCCCAAGGGTGCCCCCCAGCAACGTGCTAAAAGGGCAGTCGAAGCCCTGGTAAAGGCTCAGAATTATTCTCGGCATATGGCAATGCAACAGGTGAGGCAATTTGTGGAATGGGAGGGATGGTATTAGAGCTTAACACTCTTTTTTTAAAAAAAGATTCTTTATGACATAGTTTGCCATTGTTGGTATTTTTCTTCCTTGTGCTATCCTTAACAAGTAGACACTATACAAAGTACAATCCCTTTGTCAAGCTGACTATTGTCGGTGCATGTGTACTTCTGACTCCCTGATAAATGCTGACATCCATGACCAGTTCTTGAGACACACAGGAACATGGCTAGTCCTTCCTTCAAACTAGAAATTAAATATGGTTCAGAGATGTCTTGCTTTATTCTTTCTGCTGTAGGAACCAAAATAGTTTATTAAAATCACCAACCTAAGTTAGAAAAGTTAGAATGGAATGAGAGGTCAAAATTTATCTGTTTATTTCTGATTGTGATATTAATCCTTGTTTTAATACATTTTGGTGAATTTGGATAAACTTGAAATGCTGATAAATCTTAATAGGGAAAATAGAATGCATTCCAAAGAAATATATAGGCTGTTGAAAGAAAATTATTTTTTATTTATTTATTTAAAGCATTTATATTCCACCCGTCTCACCTCAAAGGGGACTCAGGGCAGAACACAATATATATACAGCAAACATTCAGTGCTGGAACATAAAATAAACTATAAATATACATAAACATTAAAATCAGTCATCTCCACTTAGAAGTAAATTGTTTGATAGCTTCCTAGAAGAACAAACATCTTTAAGAGCTTCCTACACTCCTTAAATTAAACTTGGCATGACCAGATTAAAAAAATGGCTTTAATAATGTGTATTCCTTTTTGAAGAAAGTGGGCCACCACAATCCAGCATGTGAAGCACATACTACATCTGTCTGTCTGTCTGTCTCTCTCTCTCTCTCTCTCTCTATCTATCTGTCTATCTGTCTATCTAGCCATCCATCCATCCCGTTTTAAGTTCCTGACATCTCTGGTTAAAAAGATCTTGAGAAGAACTGAGAAGATGCTTAGTGTAAGAACTTGTCTTTCATAGAAGAGAGTACTGGAGCAATTCAAAATAAGGCAGTTCCTTATTTTGTATACTACTTTATTGTAGGACAGTGGTTCCCAACCTTTGGTCCTCAAGATATTTTGGAGGACAGCTCCCACAATTCCTAACAGCTGGTAATATGGTTGGTATTTCTGGGAGTCCAGAAACACCTGGAGGACCAAAGGTTGGGAACCCCTGATTTAAGAGAAAGTGTATTTATTTATTTATTTATTTTTGCCAGTCTTTCTCCCTGTGCAGGTTCCAAGGCAGCCTTTTAAAGGTACAGTTAAAACAGTCTTTATACAAAAGTTAAAAGGTTTTAAAAAATTAAATAGTTCAATTAAAAGTGGGTTAAAATCATATTAAAAACATAGATCATAATTAAAAAGATAAAAAAAAACACAAGTCCACCATAAACCCTTCCTGTTACATAAATTTTAAACAAGAGGGCTGCTGGAATAAGGAAAAAAGAGAGGGAACTGATTGAACCTTCTGAGAAAGGGAAATCCACAATCTGGGAATTATGTGTATGTATGTATGTATGTATGTATATATATATATGTATATATATGTGTATGTATTTTGTATCCAGCTTTGCAGCTTATATCATGAATTAAAAGAGAATGCAACTAAAAACTAGAAATAATACTGAAGAGCAATTTGAGCCACTAACTGGATGCTGATAAAAGATGTTTTAATTTGCCCAATAAAAACAATTTTAGTTTGCACCATATTTGTAAGTCTTTTTGTATCTCTTCTCACATTTTTTCATAATTGTTTTTGAATAAATCAGAGTTGTTGGATTTGAATCCATCCTCCCAGAGTATCTTTGGGCTGAAGATACCCTCCCAATAGCCAGGCGGCACAGAACTGGCACTCTTCTCTTGCTGCTGTTACTTCCTAGTTTTCTACTGAGAACTGGATCATTACATACATCGCATACACCAGCACAATTCCAACATTTCTTCTCTAGCAACTCTCCTTCTAAAAGGGGTTGCCTGGGTTACAAACATATTGGCTTAAAGTCTTTGCTGAGTGCAGAACAGACTTTCAAGCAGACGATTTCTTGTGGGACAGTATTTTTTGGATTTAACCAATTCTTTTGGGGTTTCTAGTAGAACAACCAATCTGTTGCATATTGTTCGTTTTCAATCATCTTGGAACAATTTGATCTTGTGCTTGGGAAAGTACATTAGGTCACTAAAATAATCTGGCAGCTCACTCAATACTGTGTGTTACAGATGGTCAAATGTCTTAAAGTCAAAATTGTCTAAGGCCTGTTTCATAATATTTGTTTTTCCGTGGGCTATTGGATTCCCTCAGGGGGCAAGGAAGTGAACATTTAATGAGTTTCAGCAAAGAATGTGCCTTCGTTTTTCTTCATTTATCTGCTGCTATTTGAAGTCATTGCAACATTGTATAGGTAGCAAAATTAAAGCATTAATATTTCCCTGGTACATTGATATTGAGTTATGCTTGCTCTTAATCCAGGATCATGGACTTTGTTAATCTTGCTGTTGGGTGCAGCATGAAGGACATTATCTGAACAAGAATGACTGAAGATTAATGTATAAAGAATGTCAGGCAATAAGTTGTATTTTTAAACGTGTAAATTTATTTTTGTTGTAGCTTTTGGCTCTCTTTCCGTTCAGCTGTGCAAACTGGAGCCTGGAATAGGGGAACTTTTGCAAAGATTATTTCTTAGAATAGAAATGCTTTTTGCCACATAAGCCTCTTTTGCAAACCTGGGAAACAATCTGTAAAGGTTGCCATTTAAAAAGCTTCACTGAAATGTTGTGTTTAATGTTGTGCAGTGACTACACAATTATTCATAGGTCCTTCTAAATGTAACTTTTTTTCTGGGGGTTTTCTTGGCTTTGTTTGCAGAAAGTTCTGCATAATGAGAAGACTTATCTGCTATCTCTTTGTGGTAGTGTTTGGTGGTAGGTTCTGCTAATTTATGAACATAGCATGGAAAATATATGTTTTTTCTCTATTGACCATGCTAACCAGGGGTTTCTGGGAGATGTGGCCCAAAACTTAATACCTGTATTTACATATAAAAACATAATGAGATTCAGTTTGCCTTCTATATTCATGGATTCTGCATCCACAGATATAAAAAAAATCCCAAGAGCAAACTTTGGTTTTGGCTTTTTACACAAGGGACACCATTTTACTACACCATTGTATACAATGGAAATTGAGCATTCACAGCTTTTGGTATCTATGGGGGGCGAGGGGAGAAGGGGAGGTGTTTTGGAACCAAATACCATTAGATACCAAGGGTCCACTGTATCTTGGAGATGTGACACAAATCTAAATATGAAATTCATTTATTCCTTAAGTACATCTTATACACATTGACTAGAAGTAATTTTGTACGATATTTTAGAGTATTTTGGATTTCAGAATTCTGGATAAGGGATGCTCAACCTGTCCCATGTATGCTACACTATTACTCAGGGGATCCAAAACCTTTCTTGTTTGGAGACTTCTCAGCTACTCTTGACTGTGTTCATCACCATGTACATATTGGAATAACCTGGCATTTTCCATTTTCCATTATTTCCATTTATACTCTTGCCACTGCATTCTAGCATATACAATTACGTCATCCCATACCACATTATCATTCTTTTTTCTGTTGTATCTTCTTCTACACCTTTCTGGTAGATGCAATATGGAGTGTAGATGTGTTACATGATATATGAAGTGGAACAGAAGGTCAGAGTCTATTATATCAATATGGAGTATCTTCTGTACACAGACACACACCTTCTTACCATGTGCTATCTCAGCAATCACCGTCCATTGCTTATTGTGGAATATTTCTTTACCAGAACATGTCAAACAGCCACTGCTGTGTTGGCAACACCACTGGGAAAAAAAACAATGTATTGTTTGCTATCTTGTGTTGGAGGTTTGTGAAAGTATGTTAAGAAACTGGTAATATAGACCAGTAGCTAAGGATTTCCTATGACATATCCAAAGGTCTTTCCACAACTTCCATGTAACCTTCTTCACTTTGCATTTGTTTTCTGTAAAATCCCAAAATTCCCCCAATGGTTTACATACTTCTGAAGGAGATTTGCAACTGTTGCATTCACTGGGAGAGACATAGCTGCTGTATTCTGTGCAAATTATTAACTTGTAAAAACCTTCAGGCCAGAGAGTGATTTCCTGTTCGAATTGTACTGTTCCTAAACTTTGACCACTCTCTGCAGGTGTGCAGCTGAAATCAGCTTGAGGAGTGTTTGACTATTATTTTCTGATAGGGCTCTAATTTTTATAGCAGACCTGACTCAGAAGGCAGTACAATGGCTGATGACATGGTTTATTGTTTTGGATGTCAAGTCAGCCACAGTTTGTGCAAATTCTAGTTTGCAAACCAACTTCAGAAAATAGTTTCCATTTGTAGTGTGCTGCTTAAGAAAGAACATGATTAGAACCCAAAATTTAGCATGCCACTTGAGTTAAGTAAGTATGTATAGCTGGCTACTGCTGATGGAAATGATTATTGTACTGATCTGCTTTTGCCCCACCTCCAGATTCTTGCTTTACAAGGTGAACTTAATTTCTACAGAAATGTGTATAAACTTCAAGTTAAGTACAGTGAAGCTCTCTTTGATGGGATAAAGCAAGCATACCACACATTTCAAGATAATGTTGCCATGGTTCTCTGTTCACCGCTACAAGGCAAGTATGTGTATAGACATAACAGTATTTGAAAAATAAATCTTCTAAATATGTTGTTGTTCATTCATTCAGTCGCTTCCGACTCTTCGTGACCTCATGGACCAGCCCATGCCAGAGCTCCCTGTCGGCCGTCACCACTCCTTCAAGGCTTTTAAATATAGGTAGCAGTAAATACAAATTAAAAGTAAAGGTAAAGGTTTCCACTTGACATTAAGTCTAGTTGTGTCTGACTCTGGGGGTGATGCTCTTCTCCATTTCTAAGCTGAAGAGCTGGTGTTGTCCATAAACGCCGCCAAGGTCACGTGTCGAGTATGATTGCATGGAGAGCTGTTACTTTTCCGTCAAGGCGGTACCTAGTGATCTCTTCACATTTATATGTTTTCTTTTTCTTTTTTAATTGATTTTTATTGGTAGAATATATGGTTATATGGAAAGTGGGAGAATATTGTGAAGAAGATAGAAAAGTAGGAAATGAAGTAGAGCTAAAAAAAATAATAGCAGAACATGAAGTAAAGAGAAATAAATAAATAAATAAATAAATAAATAAATAAATATTTTAAAAGATATTAAAAGCCTAGTCCCAAAGGTGTTTTTGAACTGCTAGGTTGGCAGAAACTGGGGCTAACAGTGGCAGCTCACTCTGCTTTCCGGATTCGAACAGCCGACCTTACAGTCAGCAAGTGCAGCAGCTCAGCGGTTTAACCTGCTGTGCCACCAGGTGCTCAAAATACAAATTACTGCACAAAATATTTGAAAACAATTCCAAATCTGAAATGTTTCCTGTCTTGCCGATTTCTATTTTTTGATACAAGTCACTAGGAAATAATTTATTATTCTTTGTTTCTTCTTAAAGATGCTCTTTCTTTTTACACAAAATTAAAAACGGAAGCTTCAGAGACTGCTTTGAGAGACTTTCTCACTGTTTTTAGAAACAATGCGGAGCAGATCAAATATGCAGTGGAAACTTTAACACCTCCAGGGAACCAGCATCGTGAAGGTGAGGATGTGTCACATTCCAGGCAGTAATGGGAACCCAAGGGGCAGAAGGAGACAAAGCAGCAGAGATGGCTATACAGTGCAAGCTTCGGTGATTAGCTCGTACAGGACTGTCAAAGGCTAAAAGCAGCAGAGGCCTTTTGTATCATCATCTAGCTTAGTGTAATATACCCCAAGGAATAGTTACAAGAAGGTGGGGCTCCAAGTCTATTTTTGTAGCTTTTTGCCTGTCCAAACTCCCTGAACTAACCTTTTCTGGGTGGTGGTGGGAGGGAGAATGAATTGCCTCTACTGGGATCTTCCAGGGCAACAGTTCCCCTTTACAAATAAACTGTAGGCTTCCCCCCTACTGATTAAAATAAAAAAATACTCGTTCAAAATTGAGTGTGGAGTTCTGACTTTGGTTTGGGGTTAATGGAGAAGAATTGGAAAGTCCTGGGGCAGGGAATCAGACCCCGGGCCCACCACAATTGCTCACCCATGTTCTACATGGACTACTATTTGCTTTCCATTATTTCAGACAGCAGACTTCCCCACCCTACTATAGATTTCTCTGTAGATGCTGTACATGGATCAGTTTCATTCAAAACATATGCTGTACCATGGCCCGCCTAAAATCTGTTTACATAGGAAGCTGACATAATATTTGTTAATCCACCCTGGTATTGTTTATGCCAACTAGGAGCAGCTCTCCAGAGTGTCTGGCAGAGGTCTTGTTCATCAGATGCCTGGGATTGCATCTGTAAAGCATGAGATTGGGACTGCCTGATATTCTCTGCTTGGGTATTTGCCCATATTGTGTAGTTACCATATGGAAATGGTGTTAATCATGTTGTTTAAACTATCCAAAATGTTCCAAGGCAGATTGTATTCACTTTGAATGTATTCACTGCTGAATAAATGTAGAATGACAACACTATTCAGCCATTGCAATTGATTCAACATTTGTTAATTTCTTGTTGTTTTTACTCAGTTGACTAAGAGCTCCAGAATGTATTCAGATCAATGGAAATATATTAATATCATGTGTTGCTATGTGAAATGCAGGACTTGAGTCAAATATTCATGACCTTTTTCAGGATACTTCATTCAACTCCTCCCCACTCCCTTTGACTTCTTGTACTTTTCTCTACCAAATGAAAAGTTAACTGCTTTTCATTGCCAGCAAGCATTCAGAACCATCAAGAAGGGAAACCACTGGAAATTTAATATGTTTTGATGTTTCCCAAATATTGTATGTGGTCTGTTTTCCTATTTGCGTATCATCCAGCAATTTTGTGAGGTAGGTTAGGTTTCAGCTGCACAGGATTACTCAGTGAACCTTGGGATTTGAACCCAGATCTGCCTAGCCAAAGCTGGTCTATTCTGATCTTTTATCCTGACTTCTTATTAATTCCTTTTTTAAAAACGGCTATGTTTTCACAATAGTAATATTAATATTAATAATAATAATAATAATAATAATAATAATTTTTATTTCTTATCCTCCTCTCCTCACAGCTTGAGGCGAGTTACAACATTGCTAAAACTCATATTCACCTAAAACATTCTTTCAAATACACATATTAAAACTTATTTCCATAAGACACATATTAAAATAAACAAAACAAAATTAGACATAGAATGGTAGTTTAAAATTCGTCATTAAAACTTTATTAAAGTTACATTTTTATAGGTACTAGTGTAGAACGCTGCTAGATAAGGAACAGTATTATCATAGGTTCTTGTGGTTTTTTTCGGGCTATAGGGCCATGTTCTAGAGGCATATGCCTCTAGAACATAGCCCTATAGCCCAAAAAAACCCACAAGAACGTAGTGATTCCAGCCATGAAAGCCTTCGACAATACAGTATTATCATATATGAAGAATAAAGATTTTATATTTGTGCAGTTACAATAAGATATACTCCTAAATAATAGCTGAATTGATAACTTGCCAATATAAAAAGCAAACTGAAAGCAAGAATGGATTGTAAGTACAATTAATTAAAAATCTGGTACTCTTTTTGATATCTAGTAAGTGGAGAGGTATTCATCAGATGCTGCAATACATTTTATATATGTTCATTTCACATCTTAGCTAGCTCTTGGTATTAGATATTAATTTTTGCAAACTGGAAAATGTCCTTCTCCGTTTTCTCAAGGACTGAATATATCAAGTTTATTAATGAAAACAGAATAAAACCCAAGTAAATAAAAAATCACCCAAGATTCCTCTTCAGTCTTAGTATTCTAATTGTCTATATGCTGCTAAATAACATGTAGAAAGCTTTCAGTGTTACTGTGGCAAAGTCGAATATATACTCACTCAAACTGGTATTAAATCAAATTCGACAACTACAACAAAAATAATGTAAGGTTCATGGAGATAGCTCTTACTCTAAAGCAGAAATTTCCAGGCATTTCGTGTTGGTGACACACCTTTGTAGACATGCATCATTTCATTTCTCAACATAGTAATTCAGTTTTACTAGCAGACCAGAGATTAAACTAACCCCCTAGAAGAGATATGGACATATATATATCTTGTAATAATGAAATGTATGGGGACACAACATATTTAATGAACACTTCTCATATATATATTTTAAAATATGATTTATTTCTCAAAAGCTTCTCATGTTCACACAACACATTGCAGTCAACACAGTAGTGTGTCACGACACACAATTTGGAAAACTGCTTCTTAAAACTGTGAGTCCTGACCCCAAATGGGGTCTTTTTAGCTCAATGTTGGGGTCACAAAATTGGCAACAGTTAAAGATTTCTGAATGCCACATAGACATTTACATGAATTTGTTAGCAACAGCATACAATGTTTACTTCAGAAAATACTTCATTTGTACTTCACAAAATGGAAAATCAGCCTGTTTGGCAAGCCTTGCAAATGCTGATTTATTATCAATAAATGTTTTATTTTGTACCTATTTTATATACCCATATACCTGGGGTTGCGAGTGGAATAAGAAGCCCTGCTCTAGAGAATGAGCTGCTCCTTCTTCTCTCCATGTTTACTTATAAATGTATACCTTATATAATGCGGCTTATTTCCTCTAATATATATAAATTTAGTAGTAGCAAGGGTAGATATATATAGGTTTGAAGTTTATTTTCTGCTATAGGGTGGTTAAGGTACTAGGTACCTTAACATGGTATTAGCTTGACTTAAGATCAGCTAATCTGTAAATTTGCAGTCCAAAATCTCAGGAGGATCATAGGTTGAGAGCTACTGATTTCGGATATGTTTGAGGGCATCATAACTATATGACCCACCTACTTCAAATGATGAAATCAACCAGATGGGGAAAGATTGCTGGGAGTCAAGAAACCAGGCAGTCGGAAGACAAGAAAAGAGCCGTGTATTGCAGTTCAGAGTGTATCAAATATATCACTTCATTTAGGTAGCTATGAATACATGATAGGATTGAGGAGCCAAACAAGGGAGTTCTTCTCCAACAAGGAAGTTTTACTGTTGAGGATAACTATCAGCTGTGGGCAAAGCTGAAACCAAGGCGACTTGGACCAGGAGTGGCAGTAAGTCGCTCATTGACTTTGTGCCCTTCCTTTTTCTGCTTATTTCTTTCTACTTTCCTTCTCCCTTGTAAAAATCTACCCAAAACTAAAACCAAAAAGACTTAGAAGAAAAAGGTTCCAGTCACACAAATGGGATTTCCTCCACAATGTGAATTCCTATACGCCGAGAACAGAGGAAAGTAAAAGTGCAATGGAAAAAATTAACTGTTCTCTACCTATCAACCCCCTTTGGCTTGGCAACTTAGGAAAGGAAGTTCCCTTTTGCACAAATAGGATGGATTTAGCAGTAGGATGGAGGAATAAGCCTAATTGCCAGATCCAAAGACATTGCATGCCAAAGGTTGTAATGGTTGCAGTTGCAGTGGTTATCCAGTGACAGGAAAATTTCAAATGAAAATTTTACATGTTCTGCAAACACTTCGAGAAATTCTAATACGTCTCTTTGATGAGTTGTAGGATGCCTTTCTGGATGTATTTGAAAGTAATATCATTGTGCTCATTTTCCAAAAAACTGAACACATGGTTTTCCAACACTGTGATATCAATTTCACTATTTCTAGGTGCATAAAAAAACTGGAAAGGGCTAGATGATCCTTAGCACCTCTTTAAAGCAGTACCGATTTGTTTCATATATCCCAAGAGCATGTTGATTTATGTCATGAGTTGTGCAGCTGAGCCCCCTGCTTTCTTTTAATTTATTCTTAAGGTGACGAGGCTTTGTCAAAGTTTGGAAAAGAGTTCTTCCTGTCCTTGGAACGTTCACTCAAAGTCTGTGGGGAGCAACGGGATAAAGCAGCCAGTGAAATGGAAATCCTACAGACAGAACTGGACCAGGCCTTCGAAACTCTTCAAGATTTAAGAGAACAAAAGGTGAAGAAAGCAGGAGCCAGCCAGCATTTTCCAAGACGTGAAGAGGGTAAGATGGAAGGGACAGAAGCGATGGGCTTGAATGTACTTTCCAGAAAAACACCTGAAGTGAATCCAGCTTCAAAATATGTTCCAAACAGACGCAGCCTCTTGCAAAAACAAGCTTCGGTTGTAGAATCTGTAAACCCACCATGCAGACAAAAACTAGACAGTTCTGAGGGTGGAAATATTCAACAGAAAGGGAAACACCTTCATCGGAGCAAGAGTATGAAGGCCACTGAAAGGCTGCCCTGGCAAGATTAGAAATTGCTCTCTATTACAAGGTATTGCTATTCTGGCTTGGAAGAGAATTGAATTAACAGCAACATGACCCTCGTTGCCATCCTTCCTTCTTTCTTCTCATGACAAAAAAAAAAGCTTAATTGCATGTTGCTTTCACACTCATCCACACAACACACTACCTTTTCTCAGTCTGACACTCCAGATGTGCTGGATTATAACTACTATCATTCCTACTTGGCTGAAATGATGGGAGTTATAGTCTGGCACATCTTGTGGAAGGTGCAAATTGAGGAAGGCCTCAAATGGGGAAAAATGATTTACGGTAGGATTTTCACAGACTGCATTATCGAGCCACTTTGTTTACAACTATACACACAATATATCTGAGCAAAGATACACTTAACAACTACTTCAGATCTTGTCTTTTAGTGCTGACTGAAAACACAGAAAAATACCATATAGATATGTGGGTGTACGTAAAAGAAAGAAAAAAGACAGTGCAGGTAATGGAACAGACTTTGAACTTGTTTCATTATTGTTTTACAGAAACTGTGTTACTTTCCTTGACATGTTCAGTTGCTTGGAAACCATTCCTGTATCAGGCTTTTTATTCATAGCATTCCCCAAACCAGCTATAGTTCTTCTTAAATGGTCTCAGCTACCCAAGAAATACAATTGTTCTCTCTGGTTTCCTAACCCTACTGAAAGCAATACTTTGGACTTTAATTTGTATTTGTTTAATAAAGCTGTTTAGAGTGATAGACTCAGGATCAGGAGCAACATCCAAAAAGTTTACCATTTGCCCATCTTTTAAATTTTTTACAAGTGAATATGATACATTCAAGGGATGTTCTGTATTCTTATATATCATATACATAAAGGTGTTTGCTAATTAATAAATGATTGCAAGAGAGTGCAAGTTTTGCTGTTCATTTTCCGTTTCAGTTCTGCAATAGAAGGATGTATGCTTCACCCCCTTTTTTGAAGCCTTTGTGTGGGCATGGGAGACCACCCTCCACCTTGCTCTCCCTGCACAAATAGACGAATATGCGGTGTGGGATAACCAAAGGCTACAACTTGTTTATTGATTACAATACAAACAGAGTGGGCAGCCATGCATGTAATCTGGATCAGGAATCGGACAGCCTGTTGCTGACTGAATCAACCAAATGGTAGGGGTTGCAGGCAGTTTTCCAACCAGTTCCATCCCAGTACACTGGTATTGCCATACCCCTAATAAGCCACCTGGATGCTCTCCCTTCCAATAAGGGGGGGGGGGTATCCAAACTGGACCCAGGTCCCATGCCAAATGCCCAATAAATCCCAACAGAGAAAAATTGAATGGGAACTTCACTGTTCAGGAATCGATTCGAGAAGGCAGCCTGGCTCCCAGACTGCCACCTTGAGTCTTGCTCCACTGATAGCTTCCCCTCCCCCATGCGCATTAGCTCTGTAAAGGTAAATAAAGAGAATACCCAGTAGTTTCAAATTCTTGTAGCAAGAGCCTTGGCAGAATGTATGAGGTGTACGCAGAGGATTACCCACTGCCCAATCCGCTTTATATTCACCGGGACCCCTATCTAGGCAGCAGTGGTGACCACCCCAATCCTAAAAGAATGTCCACCTGAGTCCACATATGGCAGGCCAAGCTCCATAAAGGGACTGGTGGTAGATGGCCATACATTGATATCTGCATTGGGGGAGGGGGACTCGCACATGGAAGAAACAAGCCCAGGCCGGACAGAGTTGCCCTTCTTGTGTCCCATGAACGATAAATGTAGTCCCCTTTTTTGGCCTGATCTGTTGGATTTCTGAAAATGGAGACTGCTGTTATACCACAACACTTCACCCCTTATTTGCAAGGTTCTCCCCAACTGTCTTGGAATCAGCTACTATCTTCCCTGATTTTAGCGCCCCAAAAAAGACTGTAGTGAATGCCACAGAGAACCAATTAGCCTCGTAGTGAGATGTACAAACCTTTTAAGCATTGAGTAGCCACTGAATTTAGAGTATGGGAGGGGCTGCTGCTCATCTTATTGCTTTGATAACTGCTTGCTGCAGCCCTTCAATAGTTTCTTCATCCAGAAGGCCTGGCACAAGTTCCCAAAACCAGCAGCCTGGCTTAAGATGAAATCCCTTCCAGGCAGGACCTCATGGTGTGGTGGATATGTTGGGTCTCCTTTGGTGTACCCGGAAATGCAAAACCTCACCCTTTACCAACAGCCAGTTGCTGCCTTATCTGCCTCTGGCCTGAACTTGGTAATCTCGTAATGGCCAACCGATTTGCCCTCATGGTTGCCTGAGTAAGTGCTTGTTAAGCAGCACTTCTCCCAGATTCCACGAATCTGCAGGATACTCGCAGAAAGAAGATGGGCACTCAGGGCAAGGGACTGGGACCTTATCTCCTGGAAACAGGATAACACATCTGCTACCTTGTTGTTCAGACCTGGAATATACTGTGCTGAGAATGTGATGTTAGCAGCCAAGCAAGTTAACACAAACTGTCTCACTGACCTCATACCCAGTCTAATTTCACACCCTAACTACCACCTGATAGTCACACCAAAAGCTCATCTTCTGATCTCTAAAGAGATCAATTCATATGTGAACTGCTGCCAGGATGGAAAAGAACTCCAGGAAAGAGAGATCATGAAGCGGAAGACCAGCTATCTGGCCACCTGGGCATATCCCAGTGGTCTTGGATGTATACCTTGCAACCTATGCTCCCAGTTGTATCCAAGTAAACCTGAACTCATTTATTTATCTATTTCTCAGTGTTTTGCTGCAATGATTCCTGCTGTGTCACCTGCAAGCAATCTTGTTCAAAAACATTAGCCGGATGAAATGCTAGGTGCTAGCCTTGTTCTGGGGATGCAGCATTGACCACCCCAAACAAACTCCTAGTCCAATTAGGTTTTGGATATATATATATATATATATAGGAAAAGTGGATGTGATATGTATGTGTTTGTATATTTATATACACACACGTGTATGTGCCAGCTCAAAGGCCCTGGTCTGAGGTCTGGCACTCCTCTCCCGGATCTGCTGCAGCAGATTGCAGCAGGAGCTAGCATTGCCAATGGTGGCGGAGGGCGGAGTCTGGCCCTAATTTGCTGTGTGCCCCATGGGTGCCAAAACACACAAGGCACAAGGGGCTCCTGGGAAGGAGAAGCCCCAGGAGAAGATGGTGGCTGGAGGGGCGCCAGCCGCAACGTCCCTGCTTGGTGTGTCGGGCAGGGCATTTTATAGATATACAAGAAATGAAAGCTTGTGCCTTCATAGAAGACATGATAGACATTTACTTTTTTAGGGAATTTTTTTTAATAATAAAAAGACATTAACCAAGAAGATGGAATGGACGTCAATTCTCTTTTTCATCTTTTTCTTTTTGTACCTTTTTTTTTCTTTTTTCATTTTTCACTTTTTTTCCTTATATACTTCTATCTTTTTCTCTCTTTCTATATTGTTATTGTTCTCACTCTTTCGTTGTATTATGGAAAATCTAATAAAATTCACCCCTCCCCCCTTCCAAGTCTAACGACAATAGGTGTAGGAGACTGACCAGAAGAATGACTACCAACGACACAAATGACATCTTGGTAGGTCATATGCTCTTTTAAAGAATAGCCCTTGCTTTGCTCACACCTTGTAGGACTTTAATTGATCAGGATGTTCTGATGTGATTGTTCTATTGGTTAGTAGGGAAAGAGAACCAGCCGCAACCACCAACACTAGTTAAAATCCTTACATTCTGCTGGTTTTCTGTAAATAATTTATGAGGCTAATTTGTTCTGCACTCTCTGATGTAAATAGCCATCCGCCCACTGTTTCCTCTGTATTGTATTTTAATTAGATTATGTGTTTTTCTCTTATTTTTAAACTACCCTGTGATATATATTTATATGAAAATGATGGGTTTTAACTACTCTTGATTAAAACCATAGCTGCTGTAATTTTATTAGGCAGTTTAATCAGGCAAAAAAATTATTTAAAAAGAAAAGGAATGAGGTTAGTTCCCTGATCGCTAGAGTAATTTTATGTGAGATTACACATCATTGGGATTTAATTAATCTGTATATTAGAAACATGTGTTTGGACACCAACACTTAGTTTATAATAACCTTAACATAATTAATTCTCAAAGCATCTGTACTGCTTTGTTTGAAAATAGTCTCCAGCATCCATTTTTAATATTAAAACAAACCATGCTTTGTTTTTGAATTGCACATTTCCTTTGAAGCGAGGCCAGAAAAATGGTATCCCGCCCTCAGTTGTGTTAATATTCTGATACAAGGCTTAAAAAATTCAATGCAATTAGTTACATACAAATGACCATCTTGCTATGTTACCCAAACATTCCTTTTGATAAAAATATGTTTTTCTAGGGAATGGGAGGTGTATTTTGCAAACCACATAATTTCAGTGAAGCCTCATGGGCTTTTTTTTTTTTTTTGCAGATTCTTCACTCATCCATAAGGAGACATAACAGGTTGGGTATACATCATTTTCCATTTGTGAAGCTAGCAGCATTGTCTCATATTTTCATTGTAACAGGCATTTTACAGGCATTGTAACAGGCATGTATTGAGGTATTTACGATACAAACGTCACTTGACACACCCCTTTGCCTGAATTTGTCTAAAATCCTTTGTGCTGTCCTATATTAGTGACAGCTATTTACTGCTCACTTTCCCAGTATTTAGTGTTCTAGTGCTGCGTATTAAAACAGTACATTTTCATTGCTGTGACATATTTTGGAGAAAATCTTAGGAAAAAATCTTAAATTAATCTGGACGCAGGTAATAACAAAGTTCTTGATACCGTTTGTAACTTGGCACCTTCCAAGGTGTGTTGGGCTACAATTTCTGTCTACTCCTAACTTGCATCATTATGAGCCAACACCTCTAGAAGGTACTAGGCAATCCAGTTTTCAATGTAAAGAAGCTATCCAAGGTGCTGAACCTATTTTGGAAATGGTTCCTTAAAGTTCTGACTTAAACCTTCAATGCATTGATGAGGAAGGCTAATCTTTATTTTCATCATCATATAAATAGGTGGATTTTGAAGAGATCAAATTTGATAAAATGCAAGAGCAGAATGCATACAGAAAAAGTTACATAACAGCACTTCATTGGAATTGTCCTTTTTTCCATTGTATCTAAGACAAGGTTAATTATGACTCTACCTAGTTCAAATTCAAAACAAAGCTGTATGTTCTACTAAAGAACATGCCTGGATGACATTCTGAAAAACGCCCTCTAATGCTTGATATGTAGTGTCAAAATTGTTTATCTAGTTTTAAAAGAATTTGAATTTCATATACTTCACATCTGTCAGACCTCTCCATTAGAAGACATTCTTTCCCCGTTGTGGATAATTTTATGATCAGCATTAGTTGTTTACTACTAATAAATACCAGTTATCTTAGTCTTCCCTTAGATACAGTATCTCAGTAATCATCAAAGGATAACATTCCTCCCTGTTTTTTAATTAATATTCCTCCTCCCACTGCCCACTCTTTCTCACATACTTAATATATTTTAAACATTGTAGCTGGAGACTTTCCAGTATACATCTGTCAGCTGTTGCACTATACCACTTCTCTTCCTCATCTTTCATTTATCTTCTGCTGTGCAATAAATTCATACCAAAATGTCTCTACCTATGCCTTTCACTATCCCTTGGGGAGACAGATGGTCCTTTATCTTCATGTAGGAATCTTTATGTAGAAAAGTTGTATAACACTTCTAATTTCTGAACTACCATATTGACAAGTAGTGATCAGCATGACATTGAATCAGTTGCACATGAAGTTGATTTGGAGGAGAAATAACAAACAAAATTTCTAAAATGTGTTGCTATTAAAGATATAAGGAGCCATGCTGTAACAGACCAAAAGTTTTTTTATTC